TAAAGACATACCTGAGACTGGGCAATTTACAAAAGAAAGAGGTTTAATTGGACTTACAGTTCCATGTGACTGGAGAAGCCTCACAATCATGGCAGAAGGCAAGAAGTAGCAACTCCCATCTTACATGGATGGCAGCAGGCAAAGAGAGAGCTTGTGCAGGGAGACTCCCGTTTTTCTTTTTTTTTTTTTTTTTTTTTTTTTTTTTTTTTTGAGACGGAGTCTGGCTCTGTCACCCAGGCTGGAGTGCAGTGGCCGGATCTCAGCTCACTGCAAGCTCCGCCTCCTGGGTTCACGCCATTCTCCTGCCTCAGCCTCCCGAGTAGCTGGGACTACAGGCGCCCGCCACCTCGCCCGGCTAGTTTTTTGTATATTTTAGTAGAGACGGGGTTTCACCGTGTTAGCCAGGATGGTCTCGATCTCCTGACCTCGTGATCCGCCCGTCTCGGCCTCCCAAAGTGCTGGGATTACAGGCTTGAGCCACCGCGCCCGGCCCGACTCCCGTTTTTCAAAACCATCAGATCTCACGAGACTTATTCACTGTTATGAGAACAGTATTGGAAAGACCTGCCCCCATGATTCAATTAATTCCCACCGGGTCCCTCCCACAACATGTGGGAATTCAAGACGAAATTTGGGTGGGGACATAGCCAATCCATATCATTAGGGATGAATCCATCATTTCCTTGCTACTGTGCCCTTCTCCAAGATACTAAAAACAAAACAAAAAGCACAAAGGACAAGGCTGTAATAAATTTTATAACTAGAAATTGGACCCAACTCACCCATGGATGATGGAAGTCACCCAGAAACATAATCTTTCACAAAGCAAAGGGCACCCCAGATGCTTTTCCCCATCTAAACCTCCCTCAGATTCTCAGGCAGAGCTCTAGACACTCCCTTTTTCACACCTGTCATTGTGAATGATGAGTCTCCCACCACACTGCAATTACCACCCTTTGTCTCAGGAAAGTGTTTTATTTCTTAAATCTTTTAAACCTGTGTGGGAGGGTTCTTGGTTTTTTTTTTTTTTTCCTATGCTTGACAATTGGAGGTAGGTTACCTTTCAAATCTAAAAAAAAAATTTTTCAGGATCATAGTTTAAACTCATGTTGAAGGAAAAAAATAAAACAAAATAATTTTGCCTGTTAATGGCAGGTTACCAAAAACTCTTGCCCTTGGAGTTAATGGGTACTGATCATCTTTTGAAAAGCATTTGGCTTCTTCAGTTTTCCACCAGGGCACTTACAATGCGAAACACAAAAACTGCTCTGGCTTATGAAGGCTGCTTTGTCATCCTTGGGATTGTGTCAAATTAAAGTCTTTCTACTCACTGTCTCCCCCATCCCCACTCCGTGGAGTGGAGGGCAGTGATTGTAATCATCTGCTACATTTTTATAGTTATACCTTACCTATTAAATTACGTATCTAATTACATCACATTTACCAACACAAGATTTTATAAAAATTTAACCTAAGGCCAGAAAAGAGAACTTACATACTTTATCCTGCACAGACTCAAGCATATCTGCATCAGCAACTCCACAGGCAACCTGGTCCCTCCTCACCAAGTGTTATTTGGGTCTCCCTTCTCCAGGAACAATTTCCTGAAACTTCTCTACACGTTGCACTAGACTGCGTTCTACCGGTGTGCTGGAATGCTGTTTTTGCATCGCGCCCCACTTATTACTAGGATTACAGATTTCACATCTACCATTAGTCTTTCACTCTAAGCAGGGTCTTTGCCCTCCTCCAGTATGTCTTTGGAAGGCCATCGTGTTCTTTACTATGAACCTCAGGAAAGCTTCTCTGTACCTGAGCTCCCTGTCTGTGTTCATTCTGTTGGCCCATGCTGTTTGCTCTTGGTATCTTTCTATGGTTTCTTTATGCATGTGAAAGTAAGTATCGATATACTCTTAATCTTCATCCTTTAATAGACTAGGTAGTACATAATACGAAAGATTTCCACCCTGCTTTTTCCACCTAATAATACATCTTGGAGACATAAGTGCCCATTTTTGCTTGGAAACTAAATTAAAAAAAATATATATCAGAATCTCTACTTGTGCAGTGCCATGGCTCCTGGTAAACACCATAAAACGCTGTTTCCATTTGCTTTACTTTCAATCACTGTGTGTCTCCTAGAATTTGAGTTATAATTATTTTTAATTAAATGTGTGAAATTTTAAATGACTTAAATATAATATAACAAAATTTAAGAACAGAAATATAACCTCATCTAGACATAAGTAGTGATAAAGGAGAAAGAGGCTCAAGGAAATTTCAAGTTAAATCTCCCTCGTTTATTGCTACTGAAAATTAAAATCTAAAATTCAAAAATCTAAGTTTGTTACTTTTTCCCCAGAAATAAACACTTCGCCAGAATATAAATGTTCTAATTCACTTGTTGAGAATTTTTGTATGAAAAAGAAATGTGGTTGGGATATGAAATACTTGGCTTTATTAGATATGCATGGCAGTTATACATTGGAAATACTAGTTCATTCTTTTCCTTAGAAAAATAAAACAGAAGCCTGTTTTTCTGATCAGGAGAGTATGGTTTCTCACTAGCCTTTTGATAACAAAATTATTGATTGAACTAGAAAACTAGGGTCAGAAAACTCAGTTTAATCTGGCAAAGTACTTAAAGCCAATATCAATGATGTTTTATATATCTTTACTTAGCTATAATAGTTAACTGCAACAGTTCATTTTCATTTAGAATCTCATGTTTAATATAAACATTTCAAAAACTGCCTTTCTTGTAATTTTAACAAACTACCTGAAAGTGCTCTGTTGGAAATAAAATATGTGAGAGGTTTGCTTTATTTTGTTTCTCATGCATTTCTGATTTTATGACATAACACTGTTATCTCCTGCCTCAGGATACTACCTGGCCTCAGACATAGACTCCTTTAATTGTTTGAGAGACTTTGAGTAACATTTTACCCTGTAAGATATAGTCGAGTAGACATTTTTCAACCTCTCTTCATACATTCGGTGATTATGTGGTCTTACACAATGCATGGAACCTTCTTATTAAAGCACTATGAAACTGCCTGCTGACACACATGTCCTGATACCTTTTCTCCTAACAGAATTTGACTCTAAAGTCTCTTGGCTTCTGTTTTGCTGTCCTAGGCTTCTTTGAAAATAGACAATAACAACAAAACTTACACTTCCACCTGCCATCTGCTTGCTTTCTTATTAGTAACAAGCTGGAAACAAAATCAAATCTAAATTAGCTAGGATTTGGGGTAAGAAAAACTCTCAGTGAGAAAGTCATTCATGTATATATTCTATGTACAAAATAGGTTTCTCCATTTTACTTTGCTTAAAGTAGTGAAGTTCATTGTCTTCAAGCAATTCAAAAGAATAGCATTACAAACTCAGTCTTCGGCGTTTACATTTAGCATAACAGAGAATTATGAATCATTTCCACTCAGTTGGTATATTTAATTTTCAAAAAATATTATAAAATGAAGTAACTATTAGTATAAAGATACTTTGAGATGACATTTGATTGCAGTACAAGGTAATTTATTTTACTAGAGTACCTTGAACTAATTGCATTTATTTTTTATACACGCGCCATTATAACAAACAATTCATCCTATTATAGTAATTTCACTTTTTCCCCCAAACTTGGGAGATATTCTGCATTTTCCTCTAAATTTTGGTAATGTTTCTTAATTATAAGGGAAATATTTCTTTGCCCTTACACCTCCCTTTTGGGAGAACGCTTTGATCTCTCTAGAAGTTTAATTGCATTTCATGGAATGGCTCCTCTTTGCAATTAGGTCTATACTTGTATGCTTCATGTGTTTTCTTTCATGTTTTTATTCAATCATTTCTGTGGCAAATTTTCTGTCTCACCCATGTTTCCTTTCATCTTAGTTTCTGGTAACAGTAACTTCTGAGTAGCCACATTCTTTCATCTGATAAAGATAGGCTCTCTGATCATCCTTGAAGTATTTTGGCAAGTTTGTTTTCGATTACTTTAATTGTTCTTCCCTTATACAGATAGTTAATGAATAGTTCAAGTTAAGATATTGTCATATCTCTTGTTGGGTCCATTCTACTAGGGAAGTGATCATTACTGATAGGGTAAATAATAGTCTTATGTTTCCCTGCTCATTAAATAAAATGGGCTAGTTAAACGGTAGTGGAATTATTTGGCTTACTTTTCTGAAAACAAGAAATAAATTTTTGATCATGGTAAGTGGCAGACATCTGTCCAGATTTATGTCCAAAGAGAGAATATTAAAGTTCTAGCCAAATCATAACCTGCTTCTTGGTTTTCTTTCTAAAATGTTCATTCTGCAGTCTCCCCAAAAACTCAGTATTAGCATTATAGGTCTCTGATACTAAGATAGCAAAGGGCCAGGTATCTTGAGCAAAAAAGAAAGCAGCCAAGTAAATGGAGTCCTGTACACACTGTTTTGTCTGTTATACAAGCAAATCAATTATATTTACAAAGTAAAGTCTAACATTTGGAAATGGGCCAAAAGTTTCATTAGCAACTCTGAATAAAGTTTTAATGGTCCCAAAGATTACCATTAATGTTGGAGAGTCAATTTGCATCTCAGTTTCTCCATCTATAAAGATAAAAACAAACAAAGAAACCCAGCCATAATATCCAATTACCTTAGAGATATATACATTGGCCAAGGTTTCAGAGATGTGCATAAAAAGGGCTTTCCAAGTGTCTGAAATTATCTTATTTAGTAATGTTTTACACCAAATAAATGCTCAACCACTAAAGTACTCAACTCTAGCTAATTTATTCAGTTATTCTTTTATTTATTCACTTATCTCTTCAAAAATATTTGTTAAGCCAGAAATTATACTAAGAAATTATACTTAGCACTGTAGATATATAATTGAACAAGAAATACAAAGTCCAAGCTCTTGGTGTAGATTATATTCTACTTGAGGATTGAGGGAAACAAATGTAAAAGGGTATTTTGATAGTAACTGAGTGGCGGTGCTCTTTAGAGTAAATGGTCCGAGAAGTCCTCTTTAAGAGGGTAAAATTTGGGTCCATTTGAAGCAACAGAGAGTTGTCCAGGCAGAGGAGCATCAAGCAATAAACCCTGAAGGGGGAAAGAGCTTATTCAGTTTAAAAAAAAAAAAGACGACGACGACCAAGACGGTTTAAGCGTAGTGAATGAGATAAGACAGTGGTATGAGATGAGGTTTTAGAGGTGCAAAGGGATGTATCATGTCCATCTCAGAAAATACAATAAAGACTTCAGGATTATTCTAACTACAATAGGACACTTCTGTAGAGTTAAGCACGGGTGTCATCATCTAATTTGATTGTCTGCTGTGTAGTAAATGAATTCTAGGAACACAGAACAGGAACAAAGGCAATGGGTAGACCTTCCGCAAGTTCACTTACCGCGTTGTGGACCTGGACCAGCTGCTGGACTTGTCCTACAAGCAACTTATGCAACTGTACAGTGCGCTCCAGCAACAGCGGCCGAACCGGGGCCTCGGGCGGAAGCAGCACTCGCCGCTGAGGCGCCTGCGCAAGGCCAAGAAGGCGGTACCGCCCATGGAGAAGCCGGAAGTGGTGAAGACGCACCTGCAGTACATGATCATCCTGCCCGAGATGGTGGGCAGCATGGTGGGCGTCTACAACGGTAAGACCTTCAACCAGGTGGAGATCAAGCCAGAGATGATGGGCCACTACCTGGGCGAGTTCTCCATCCCCTACAACCCTGTGAAGCACGGCCGGCCCTGCATCGGTGCAACTCCTGCTTCATCCCCCTCAAATAGTGGCTCAGCTAATAAAGGCACATATATCTCAAAAAAACAAAACAAAACAAAACAAAACTTCTGAAAGATCAAGGAGATAAAAATTTTCCAAGGTAGAAGTTATTGTTGGTTTTGATCAAGCTGGTTTATAGGTGTGAATTGGGATGGAAACCTAAGGTGATAAGGAGTAGTTAGGAGAAGCAGGGGCACATTTTTATGCAGCTGCATCTCCACAGTTACTATTAAAGCTCATTAGCATTTTAAGAATTAATTCTTAACCTCGAGATTTTTAATTTGTTTGTTTTGGGTGCATTTATTTGTCAACTATTCCGTTTATTTTATGTGCAAAGCACTGTCCTAGACTCTTGGAATTTTTATTAATGAATAAGGCAAGCAAAGATCCTTGCCTTCAGGTACCTTGCCTTCTAGTGGAAGAGACAAACACAAAACAATAAAAACTGTAAATAAGTATGTCACATTGGTGAGAAAAAAATGTGAAATACAGCAGAGTTAAGAAAAAGCCTAAGTCCTGGGGCTGCAATTTAAATAGAGTGGTCATCATAGGCCTCATTAAGATGACGATGTTTGTGCAAAACATTGAAGAAAGTGAGAGTTCAGGTAAGTGGTTACCTGGAGGCAGAGCATTCCAGATAGAAGACATTGCTAGTGCAAAAGTCCTGGGGCAGAGGAATAACAGGGAGGTCACAATGACCCCAACGTGAAGTGAACAAGAGGATCAGTGTGCGAAAGAAGGTTATGAGGTCAGCAGGGGCGACCCTAGGGACTCTTAAAATTTTTGAATGAGATGGAGAACAACGAATTTCCGAATTCTGAGAAGGGAGTGACATGATTTGTCTTACCTGACAATAAATCAGCCAAGAGATAATGGTGCCTTGGATCAAGGTAGAAGTGACTAGACATAATGGAGTCTGCAACCATTTCAACAGTGAAACTGATAGGATTCTTTCATACATCAGCTGTTAGGTATAAGGATGTTGAACTAAAGTCTTGGAGGATACAGCTGCCGACAGTTGAGAGATAAAGTGGCAGGTGAAGTAGGTTTAGGGATTCATGCTACTTGAGATGAGACAGTCCAGTGGAGATGCAGTTTGTTACCTTGCACAGTGACTGTTAAGCATTTCCAGAACCATGATAAATCTATTAATGCTACTTGCTCAGCTTTACTTAAAGCCTTTTAGGTAAGTCCCTCAAACATACCAGATCAAGTCTTATGGGGAACATCAGAACAAACAAAACTGTAAATACCCACAAATCTATAGACCAAGAACACATCATGGGTGATGGTAATAGAGGGGGCTAACCAGGCATATTACTAGTTTGACTTACCCAGACTAAATGTTATAGAACTTTAAGCCTCATATTTTAGATCCCTAGGGTAGAGCAAAACTCAATTCAGTCTTTTCTTGATAATTTATGCATGAAGTCTACATATTGAATATTAAAAATAGGATCAAGAGAGATGGTTGTCACCAAATAATAACACAACAACAATGTTATCAACAAATGGTGTAACTGGACACAGTATCATATGTTGACAATCAAAAGAAAGATCCCCTTGACTCAATTTATCTTTGGCAAATATCTGTATATGTGTCTCTCATAAACTATGACAAGGGCAAAGAGATAATGACAGGCACAGTCAATCCTTCAGAAAACGACTAGTTTTAAAAACAAACAGGAAAATGGGCAATAACTATACCTCTGAGCCGGGCACGGTGGCTCAAGCCTGTAATCCCAGCACTTTGGGAGGCTGAGACGGGCGGATCACAAGGTCAGGAGATCGAGACCATCCTGGCTAACACGGTGAAACCCCGTCTCTACTAAAAAATACAAAAAACTAGCCGGGCGAGGTGGCGGGCGCCTGTGGTCCCAGCTACTCCGGAGGCTGAGGCAGGAGAATGGCGTAAACCCGGGAGGCGGAGCTTGCAGTGAGCTGAGATCTGGCCACTGCACTCCAGCCTGGGCGACAGAGCCAGACTCAGTCTCAAAAAAAAAAAATAAATAAATAAATAACTATACCTCTGATATGAAATATCCAATGCAATTAATGATTGCCATTACATGTTCCCTATTAGCCTGACTTGCATCAGCACAAGGAAAAGTTCAGGGTCTAAGAGCTAATCAGGAAAAATATCACTAAGCTTTGAGGCCAGTTAATTAACAGTAAAGTCGTATTTTTCACGGATTAAGTCAGGCTCTTCCTTTTGACCTCATTTAATTGCTGCTTTTAAAGACCACTGGAATAGTACTCTCGCATACAAAAAACATATTGAGATTCATCTGTTCTCTTGAGGTGTGATGAGACCAGAACTTTAAAACACTGGGGTGGAAGTGTAAATTGGCATAATCTTTGTGGAAAGCAATACATATGGTGTGTTATGTGGCAATACATATTACCGTGTAATAATACATATGTGGCAATACATATGTAGTGGCATAGAAATGTTGGTACTTTTACCAAACTTATAACGTTCGTCCTATGGAAATGTGGATAATGATTAACATATAAGTGTGTTTATCACAGCATTATTTATAACAGTAAAAACTTATAACCCTAAAGGCCGAAAATTAAAGAAGTCTTCAAATAAATTATAATACATTGGCATATTATGTAACACTAAAAAAGGAAAATACAGAAAATGAATGACATAAGAAGATCTTCATGATTTAAAGTTGAAGTTCATTGAAGCTGCACGTGAAAGTTTAAATATGGATTATATAAAAATATTTATCCATACTTCTTAGACATACAGAAATGAAATACAGAAATAGTAATTATTTCTGCACTGTAAATAATGGGTTCTGATTAATTTTGCCAATTTTCTTGATTTTCCATGTTTCTTTTAATAATCTCCATGTAATTATTTTATACACAGAAACATAATACCACCTGTTCTTTAGCAAACAAAGTTGTAAGCCTTTCAGTTTAGTTTTTCTACATCTTCAGTTTTTGGTCACTTTAGAAAAAAAAATAAATCTGGTTGTACTTTCTGTTTTCTTATTAACTTAGTACTCATGAGGAAAAATAAGTTTAATTCTTATGAATACATTTCATAGTAATTCTTGGGCTAGACATTGTTATAGCTTATGGTCCATTCCAGGGAGCAAATTTAGATGCTAAAACTTATGGATGTTTTGTTTTAAATTTATTTGACCTGGAAATTAAAGAAGGTTTTTCTATTTTCATCATATAAAATAAATAACCTTAATTGCTCATAGCAAATACAAATATTTAATTTTGGATATATTTCATGTATTTTGTATGTAATATATTTTGAACAAAAATATACTTATTTTCTTTATGAGAATAATAACAATTATAATTTTCTGAAACATAGAAAGAAAACATTTATCTTTTTGGTATCAATAGTGAATCACTGTGATTCTTGTCTCCACTATGAAATATATGACATAATTTCTCAGCAAACATGATAACTAAAAGGCTAATAAAACTTTAATTTTGAAATAAGTGAAGGTGCAGCCAGGTTCAGCCATGAGGCCCTGAAATACTTTTTGCTTATTAGGATAATATCAAATTGTCGGAATCTGTCATCAATTCTACTGAGAAGCAAATACAACTACCTGTTGACAGATGGAGCTGTGCTGAGAAAATCTATCACATAGATATTTCTGCATGTTTCTGAAGAAAAAAGATGTTGTCATTTTTAATAAGCATTTAAATAAGGGTAATTTTTCATTTCAAACAATAAAAGCATTTCTTTAATAATGTAAATAAAGGGATATCTTAGCAAATACAAAATAGCCTCCATCTGAGAGAACTAATTTATATTTAGAATAGTACCTATATTTATTTCCACTTTTCATAATTAGCACTTAAATAGAGCCAAATATTTTAATGACCAATGACTATGATGTCCTTATATTGAACATTTCCATTCCTCTTCCTAAAATGCAAATTACGTATTGATTTTTAAGGGGCTGAATGCCTTAAAAATCTGTACTTAGTCCAGTATTTTAAAATGTTGAAAGCACAACTTAATCAAAAATTGCCCACACAAAGAACTAACATTTATTAACTGATTTGACCTTAAGCTTATTGGCATTGCTGGCAATAATTAATCCATCTGCTAAGACAGCAATTCGTACACCTATACACATGATTCTGATCCATATCAATCCTGACAGAGTCATGTCTCTTTCAATGTGATCTTCAAAATCATCTGAGAGAGCTTGAATGCATTCACATTTCTGGGCCCCACGTTGTATCTACTGAATTAGAATCTCTGAAAGTGAAGCTCTGGGAATCAATTTTCTCATGCCCCTCAGGTGATAACACAATATATAGACATTAAACTGAACAAAATACAGTAGGCCAGTATTTGCATATGCTTTGTAAGAAATGAATAAACTGTAATTCTCAAATGATGGTAAATTATTTTAAGCCTACCTACCTTTCTATGGTGACTTTTTAAAGAAGACTTTATTTTCTCAGAGCAGTTTTAGCTTCACCACAAAACTGAGAGAAAGACACAGAGATTTCCCATATGTCCCTTGCCCTGAAACATGTATAGCCTCCTCTATTATCAACATCCCCCATCCAAAGTGGTACATGTATTAACAATTGATGAACCTACGTTGAAATGTCATTATCACCCAAAGTCCATAGTTGATATGGAGCTTTAATCTAGGTGTTATACATGCGTGTGGCAAATGAATAGTGACATGTATCTACCATTACAGTATCTCACAGAGTATTTTCACTACCCTAAGAATCCTCTGTGCTTTACCTATTCATTCCTCCTTCCCCCCTCACCACTGGCAACCAATGATCTTTTTCCTGTCTCCATGGTTTTGCATTTTTCAGAATGTCATGTAGTTCAAATCATACAGTAAGTAGCCTTTTCATATTGGCTTCTTTTACTCACTAATATACATTTAAGGTTCCTCCATGTATTTTCATGACTCAATAGCTCAAGCTTGTTAGATTCTTTTTAGCGCTAAATAGTAGTCCATTGTCCCCACCAGTTGACAATATACCCATGTAACCAAAAAGCACACGTGACCCCTGAATCTGAAATAAAATTTTTAAAAATAATAATTAAA